ATAGATCTAAATTTAGAAAGACTTGATTTAATATCATTTAAAATTTAGATATATGATTATTGATTAATTTAAATTGATATTAAAATTTTAATTTAAAATTAAGACTAGACCTAGGCTAGTAGAATGTCTAACTTAAACTAAAGTTAAGAGTTAGACTTAGACTTGGTCGTGGAATGTCCAGACTTAGATTGTTAGATGTATATAGGCTCATTATAGAGACAGTACTCTACTAATCTAGTGTCTCTAGATCTAGATTTTAATCTAGATCTAGTTAACTAGTAAGTACAGTCTTAGACTTAGTCAAGTTAGTATTTAAATTTAAGACTGTAACTGTTACAGTGTCACTAGCAGTGACTAGCTAGCTATACAGCTATAATATCTATATTGACTATATCTATATATATACGTTTTAGTTACTTAGTGAGTTATAAAATTTTATTTTATAGATAATGATATTAGATTAAATCAATTTATAAAATAAATAAATAAAAAACTAAAGTTTCCTTATCAGACCTTACGATCTATGGGGCAGATCATGTTATGGTCATCTGTTTCTATGGCCAATGGTTAACATGCAGGGTGTTATGTCCCAAAATTCAAAATCCCAGTCTTCACCTAGAACCCAGGACCCCAGATTCCAAAGCCGAGTGCTTAACCACTAAGCCATAGCGACCCTAATTTAGATTTTAGTTAGATAATGTAGATCTAGATGTCTAGCTAAACTATACCTCTGAGTACTCTCAACTCTATAGATTGAGTTGAATTGATATTGATAGTGTGTTATACATTGCAATTTGTTTTTAGAGATTTTTATTAATTCCTAATGCTGACTAAGAAAGCAATATATATATAGAGAGAGAGTGTGTAACCAATCAGTTACTTTTGAATTTTTAAGCATTTCTAATTTCAGTCAAACCGGAAATAGGAGCTATAAGGTTAAATCAGTACCGCTTTAGTTGCTTAAGGGGCTTATTATGATATAGCTGATTGAATAATGTCTATATTTATCTACTATCTATATACCGTGAAACGGGGTGACTTTGCACACTTTTCAACTTCCAACTTAATTTTCCCATATTTAAAGTACACTTAAACTACTATAAACTTGTTTTCCTACAGAGTGGATGCCTGTACTTTAATAAAAACATTCAATAAAGTCAGTACATTATAGGAAAAATACTTTTTTGGGGGCCCAAATGCCATTTTTTCAAAAATGGAAAAATGGGGGGACTTTGCCTTTCAACTTTATATTCTTAATAAATGTATTTTAAAAGTAAATAGAACAGAAAACCTTTTTTCTAAGATTAAGACAACATTTTTGAATAAAGAGGCAATAAAAGGCATCACAAAATTTTAGCCTTTTAATCCATGGCTTCCTCCTAAAGTAAACAGTTAAAATCAATGACATTTATCGACAAATTCTTTGTTCGTGGTTGAGGTTTCCACTCATCTGACCCAGAATTTATTTCCCCATTGCTGGAATATAAGTGCTTCAATGGTAGTGGCATTATTTTCATACACTTGGAACATAGCTGATGTTGAGAATGTTGGCTGTGAAGGATGTTGCCTCCTTGCGCCAATCTCACTGAATAGCCCAAACAGAAGTATTTTTTCTTTTCAGTCTTCTCTCATTGTCAGCTGAATTTCTGCTCATCCCTGTTTGTGTTTTCACTCTTCCATAGCTATAATAAAGTTTCTACATCATTATCTTTATGTTAATGTCAGCTCAGCTTCATTTTGGACACAGTTGGCATGACTATCTGGAAGAAAAAATGCAACACATATAAGGGGGTGACTTTGCCTCTACCTTAAGCATAAAACCTGTTAAGAAATTATTTAATTATAACTTTCCCCTCATAATTGTAAACCAAATTACAACTTAAAAAAATGCACAAGTTCATTTTATTAGCTAACATTCTATTAGATCTAAACTAAAGTTGTAACTCACCTAAAACAGCTGAAATTAGTGAAATTACAGAAGAGACGAAGTATCATTTCTAAACACTAACCTATATTCTTTTATATTTAAATGAAAATTCATGAGAAACAACTAAGGAAAAACGTTTTTTAAAGCCTTTCACATTTTTAGTATTGAATAGGCAAAGTCACCCCATTTCACGGTATATTAAAATTCTATTTCAAGTTCTTAGTGTATGTACGATATAGTTACTTATTTTTTTCCCTCTACTGAAATGGGTTTTTTAATTCTAAAAAGCTCCTAAAATTAGTTTAGAAAACTTATCTGCAAATGGACATCTGTATTGGACCTAATAAAATTTGTCTTTACCAGTAGTTGTGAAATGAATTGAGATATTTAAATTGTTTTCTATTCTTAGTTGGGCACTCATGTGAGAGGCAAAAAGAAGAGAGAAGAAATGCAAGTCATCTTACAGAGAATGAGGAAGGCTCAACAGCAGGCTGCTAAATAATTTGTCAATAAATTATATTAAAAAATATTGCTTTGTTATTTTGTTTATTAATAATAATAATAATCTTTATTATCCGTATGGAAATTTGTCTTTAAATTTGTGCATTACACCAAACAAGAAAAAACATTATAACTATAAGAAACCAAAGTGTACATTGACACCAGACTCACTAATGATTTACATGTGACAAAGTTTATACCAGATTGTCATTATTTAATGAACTAAGTACCATGATTCAAGTGTTAAGATTGACTTTTAACAGAATTAACACAAATTAAAATTTGTAATCGAACTAAAAAAAAAATCCATGTTCTGTAAAAATAGATTGTGTGCTGAAAAATATATATTTCCACTGTGATGTGGATATGAATCTGGAAATTATTAATCTTGTTCAAGAATTGCTCTTAAGTTGATCAAACTGTTTCTCAAATTGTATGTAAAAATATATTTTCTATTCTGCCACCTTAACGGGGGGGGGGGGGGGGCTTAAGGAATATAATTATAGTTCAACTTATGCTATAAGCAAGTATTTTTACAGAAATCTCAATATATTAATAATTGTTCATTTAAACTAGTCCATTGAAATTGATTTTCAATAGTAAATAGCACCTCTCGAACCATACACGTTCATTTCAGTCAATAAAAGAGGCAGTACTCACCAACACCTATGGAAGGGTCACGTGAGGTGTAGCTGGGGCATCATTAGTACTAATAAAGAAATGCTGGCCCATTCTATTTGTTATCCAGCCAGCTTTTTTTTTTGGACTACCCTTTCTTTGTGATCCCTCCTCTGTACCTTGTGGAATGACCTTTGATAGTGAGTTACGTCTTACAATACTAAAATATTTTATTATTCATTATATTGACAAATTTTGTGTGGAAAAATAAGGTACACGACAGAGATGTACTTAACACGAAGATGATCTTGAAAAATATCACACCTATTACAGATGTCCGTGCACTATATACCGGTATACCTAGAAAGTCCTTAGCATAATACTATAGACCAGCGCTACCTCTTTATTATAAGAGTTAATATGGCCCTCGACTAATTTTTTAAAATAATGAGTAGTGTGAAAGAAAACACATCAATATTGGCCCTTTTGACATTCTTACTACAAGAAAAAAAGATGTAGACGCCAGGAGAATTTCTAAAGCCGGAATGCGCTGTGTTCCTGTCCCAAAATTTAACCCTTTGAGGACTTAATCGGGAACCTGCTGCATCTTCAATTTTAAAGCCAGAAAGAACTTTTTACATTACTTTAAAATTATATAGGCAACACATTATTTTTGCTTCTGTTTCTTATGCACCTTATGTGGAAATACCTTAACATTTTCTTTGGTTTCGCCCAATTACTGATACAACTGGAGAAAGACTTAATGACTTCCTAATAAACAAAAATGGAAAGTTAAAAAAGGAAATAAAACATGTTAAAGGGCATGAGGGATACGATGATGATGATGCGAATATGAAAGAAAAAAAAAAGAATGGTCTACAAAAAATGGTATTAAATCAGAGCGCTTTTGGTACAGCGTCCAGTCTTAATTTAAAAAAAAAAGGGGGGGGGTTGGAGAGGGGCGGCATTTTAAAATTTCACACGCATGCGGCCACAACCCTTGCTGCGTCCTTTATTACTATAGTCAGAATATGTTAAAGCCTTATCTGAATAGAGGGTATTTAAATGTTCAACATAAGTTAAAACGTCCACCTGACAATTAGACTTCTAAATTTAAAAATGGGGAAAATTCACCATGTCCAATGTTTTGATTCATTTTGTAAAATTCTCCAGAAACGCTGAGAATATAGGTATGTACTTCATTTGTATCAAATTTATGTTTGAAACTTTCTGTTGTTCAATGTCATAACTAATTCTACTCTTATGCCTTTGAACTGCATTGTTGCTTATAGGAATTCTGTTTTCTGATTCCAAATGCAGGTTTGTGTAAAATAGTTTTCAAAACTTCTGCAATGGCTAGCAAAATGGATTTTTGGCCAAAGTGTGATGTTTTTATTTTCCCATAAGTAAAGATATTGTAAGAGATGCAAACATCTTACTTTGTGATGTTGAACTGTCCACTGTGTTGGAAAGTATTTCAAATTTTAATTATATAAGGGTGTCATCATCTTAAATGATCCTCTAGCTTAGATGGTTTGATAGTGTACCTTTTGAAAAAAAATTCATTGCATTAAAGCTACATAACGGTATGAACTTGTTTGTTCCACAAGGAATGAAGCCAAGTTTCAAATATTCAGTGTACTCTCTGTATTTCTTTTTTAATTCAGCCATTTTTGTTTGTTAGTTTTATAATTAAGCTATTTAAATAAAGATGTTACATTTGTAAAAAATTCATTCAATAAGGATTAACAAAGGCACAAAGCATGTATATGTGTGAGATGGGAAATGAAATTTAAAGTATAGACCTGCTGCAATGATAGTAAACCTCCATTTACATCTCATAGATCCCTGATAAATTTTTTCACTTAAGTAGACCCCGGTGAGCTATAAAGACCCCTTTGGGAATCATTGTAGTAAACTGACAAACAGATTAAGTAAATAACTGAAGCAAATGTTTATAAAAGCCAGCACATAGTATTTATTGCTAGTATTTGTAACAAAGTTTCATTTCACATGTATGATTTTTTTTTTTACCGATTTCTGAAAAAAAAAACTAGACAGCTGCTTATTTAGACCTTTTATATTTTTTTCATAAAAATTTAATTATTTTGTTTTTAATGCAAATATTAAGAACAAAACTGAAATGAGATTATAACACAAGTTCTAATTTATGTTCCTTAACAATAATGGTGCAGACTTATGAAACTAATCCTGAATATATCTTCAGTGATGACAAAAAATGTCAACACTGTATAACCAATAAAAAAAAAATTGAATCTAACCATTTATAGATCAACTTTAATTAAGCATTATAAATTATTGGAGACATCTTGTTTTCTTTTTAATACCGGTAATACAAAATGTAAAGTATGGAATGTAGAAAATCATTTAAAAAAACAAGTATAAAGCTGACAAATTGCTTGAACAATATTCTTTGTATAATCTTAACAGATAGTTCAGTTTGTGTTGCTGATCAAGTGTGGTCCATATATTGTGGTTACTTTTTTTTTACTGGTACATTTCCACCAAGCTAAGAATAAAGAAAGTTTTTACATTTAGATCTAGGTTTAGAACTCAGGATAGATAATTAGGAACATCACAGCACTCACCACTTTCATGCTTTACTACTTCATCCAGTCCATTCATTCTTTGCATACAGATCAGATAATTACAATACAATTGACATAGCCACATGGCACTAGAAATCATTATTCAATATAGAATATATTGACATCAAATAAAAAACGAACAGTTTGAATTCCGTTATTTTTCTAAAGCAGTAGTTGTTTTTCTATTTTTATTTATAACTTTGATGCCAATGGTTTCAATGACTTTATTTCTTTAAAAAAAATATTTTTTCTTGCAATGAAGAATTATAATTAATATTTTCTAAAAAATTGATTTAAAATTATTCAAAGTGCAGTAGTTAATGCATTACAAGTGGCTACTTAATAAAACAGTGCTGCAAAAACTATTGCTGTTTTTCCTTAATGGTATTTCCATGTCCAAGACACATATTATTAGCAAAGTCATGTTTAAAAAAATTGTACATTTTACTTTGTGGGTTTATTTTTGAAAATTTGGATAGGTTACATTTTTTTCTAAGAACATCAAATGTGATTTATATTTAACATATTTTAGCAGTAAAATACTATTAGTAGTTGGCAAATTTTACTTTTATTTTACAATGTATTTGTTTTACTTTTGACACAGAGAAAAGCTTATAACTTTGAGGTTAGCAAAAAATTTGGTTTCAAATAATTTTGTACTGTTATTACTAAAATTTAGGTAGACACTTAAAAACTTTGTATTTTATATTGCCCAAAACATTTGCTCAAATTAACTAGTTGAAATAGTGATATTCTTTCTCCTTATATATATAACATATCATTTACAAAATTAATACCTGCAGTTTTTTAGATTTATTGATTTCATTTGTCATTAGCATCTCCTTTGGAGATGATGTCAATTACAATCACATTTAAACCTGGATCAGACTTCAACACATTGTACTAGGAACTGTTGTTCATATGTTGGGTTTTTTATTAAATACAAAAAAAAAAAAAAGTGCTTTTTGAGCACAAGTGCAGTGGGGAAAAAATGAGCAATATCAAAGTGGTATTGTCACAACTATGTGATAAGAGACAAGTTTTAAATACAAATTAGTTTTTAAAAAAAAAGTGTTTTGTGATATTGACATAAGAAATACATCTCTTTAAAAAAAAGTTTTTTTTTATATTTATTACAAATACATTAGGTTTTTTTCCAACTGGAAAACTATGTACAATATCTATGATCTAGTTTCATTTTAAATATATCCATTATTGAAGAAATATTTTGAGACGACTGCAAAGTTTTAAATACTGAGATTTAGGAAAACATTATTCTTTTTTTAAATAATAGGTAACAATGTGAACTAAAAATGTGAACACATAAATAACAACTGATAAGACATTGAAATAGCACTTGTGAAGTTGAAAAGTATGGCAGTGAATTATGCAGGTAAACTTGAAACATGTATTCAAATGGCACAAAGATCAAATAAATGTGTCAACAAAATGTGCATGTATTTATACAAATGGTTTCAAGGACAAGTTTGACATTTACATGAAAAGAACAAAGAAGTCTGGAAAAAATTTTTCTAAAAGGCACATTGGATGGAAATGTTTGCAATATCATGCTAGGATCTTTTCTTTTTAGCAGATGGAGTATTCGCTGGGATGTCAGGTCTCAGCTCTCTGTATTGAATCTGAAAAAAAAAAACAAACATTAAAATAATTTACTTTCTGCTATTATTCAAGTTTTATTAGAAACATTTTTACAATGCGATAAAAGAAGAACAAACCTATTATTTTATATAATATTAGACATTTAAAAGATGAGTTTTTTTTTTTTTAATTTCATGAGATTTACAATGCAGCAATTTATCTTATGTGCATTATCAATATTTCTTTAAAATGTTTTCTAATATCTCACCAATTCATTATCTGAAGGAACCCTTGATAAGAAATCCAACAATTCATTATTGGAGATTGCATTTGGTTTCCTCAATTTCTTTGTGAATTTATTGATACCTGGAAGTAACAAGTTTTCATTCTCTTTTTAACTGAACACAAGAAAGTTTAAATAAACATCTATATATATAATTCTCTTCTTCCCTCAACAGTTTGGATGAGCAAAAAGTAAAGGAAAGATCACTCTCTTATTTCTGCAGAGTCACCCCACGAAATAACAAGAGGCGGGGGGAGAACACGTGGGTATTCACACGTCGCTACGGATGGCTGCACGCTGGACTGTCAAACCCTGTCCGCTCCCATTCCCCTTCGTCTTGCAGGAAGTTTGGACTAAAAAGTAAACTATCTTCAACTCTGAAGGAACATCCGAAACATGTAAAACATTTTGCAAACAAACATGTTACAAACACTAAATAGCAAGGCAGGACTTACGCATTGTGAGGCCCTATTCGAAACGGATTTTGCGGGGCCAATTTTGGGTAGGAAGCAGACAATAAGTGAAATTTAAGAGTTTGTATTAGAAAAAAAATTCGTCTATGCATTTTATTCATTCTTTACTATGTACAGAATTACTTTACGAGCCTTGCGTATAGCAAAGTCATACAGTATATCATAATAATTCTGTTTCCTACATAGATCCTGCTCAATAACAAGAATTACCAAATGTTTCAATCTATCTTTGAGAATTGTTGACCTCCTGGTAAATTGACATGAGGATGCGGGAAATCTGTTTTAAATAAAAAAATGGTTTAATTTAATAATTTATACACCTTGAATTAGCGCGGTGTCTATGAAAGTGCGGATCCTTTGAAAGTGGTGGCCCACTGTGTTTGCATAGGTTGCAGTGGTCTAAGACCGGCTATGCGAAATAGCGGCGTATGCTATGCCGCCGGTCGACTAGTATATATAAATAATAATAATCATCATTATTATGAATAAGGAAATTTGTCTTACAATTTGTGCATTACACAAAAACATTATAACTATAGAAAACCAAAATATGCATTCACACCAGACTCATTTAAAATTTACATGCAAAAGTTTAATTCAGATAATTTTTATGTAATGATTTAGGCTAATTACAACAGGAATATAAGAATTCAAGAGTGTAATAACTATAAACTAGTCTTAAGCTAACCCAATTTTATCTCTTTATATTGGGGAGGTACCACACCTCTTATATAACTCCACTCTGCAAATTTTATAAATAACTATATACAAAATATAGGCCTAAAATTAGGCTAAAAATGCATAAAGAGCCTGTTTTGTAAAAAAAATGATAAAGATAATCTTTTGTTTATAACTCAGGAGAAAAGATTTATTGCTCTACTCTGGGCAGCTAATATGCATGCAGTTATTGTTCTTGCAATGAAATAATGGCACAAGAAATGTTTTCAGCAAAACAAATCCATAATTAGTGTGGTATTACATTAAAACTTTTTTTGAGTATGGTACTTCTCGAATTAGTAGAAAATATGCTCGTCTCGTCTCTGCCTGTTGTTCCATTAGGGGCATAGGCCACCAATCAGCTACCTGTGGAAAAGTCTCTCCTACTGTCCCCTCATCTTACCATCTACTTGGCATCTGCTTCCATATTGCAGCACCATGTATCTATAGGCTGTCCCCTCTTCCTCTTTCCTTTGGGGGGTTCCAGGCTTGATTGTTATGTTGGATGCAGGCTTGTAAAGGCTGCAACCTATCCATCTCCAGCATTTCTGAAGGATTATATCTACTCCATTGGACTGCTGCTTTATTCTTTTCCACAGTTCCTCATTTGAGATCATGTCTGGCCGGAAGATCATAAGAATCTTCCTTTTTTTAGGATCTAAGTCTATGTAAGTAAGTAAGACAGTGGTTCTCCAGGTTCTGCTCCATAAAGTAGTATTGGCTTAACATAGTGTTGAAGACATCTGCATCTGATCCTCCATGGTTGTCCAGGATATACTGCCAAAATAGGTAAAGCTTTTCACCTCTTCCAGTCTTGGACTGTAATAGGTGTGTTGTTGGATGCCTTAAAATGTTTATGGGTAACACCTTTCCTGAAATGGACAGCAGCTTTACCCCTCAGTAGTTGAAGCAGGGGGAGTTTGATGAGGTAGCCTTCCATCCATTCTGGTGGCACTTCTTTTTCCAAAGCATAAGAGAGGTTAGGATAGCTTCACACAGGTCTTAATATCTGCCTTTAGTGCTTCAACTGGGATGCTATCAGTTCCTGCAAATTAGCCATTCTTCAATTGCTAGATTGCACTGTAGATCTCTTGGGGGGGGGGGGGGGGGCACTGCACTTGATAGGCAGCTGGTGGCTTTGCAGGAGTAGGTCAGTTCAGAAGCTCCTGGAAATGATCAATCCACCTCTTCTTCTGTCCTTCTTCATTGGATATCACTTCTTTATTCTTGTCCTTTACTGGTCTCTCTGGCTTGACAAATTTTCCTGATATGTTTTGATGATAGAGTACAAGTCTTTAGAGCTGTTCTGAAAGGGTGCTGTTTCTGCTTCTGTCACCAGTGCTTCTATGTAGTTCTGCCGATCTGTTCTGACAATATGCTTGATATTTCTATCAGCTTCTGTATATTCTGGAAAGCTTGCTACTAAGGGCAAAGCTGTGTTGATGGAATGGAATCCAACAAGTACAAAGAACATGGTTAAATAAATGCTATAAAAATGTGCTACATGATGACATAATGTACTTAAAAGCAATGATGATTGGTTTTGTCCATCTTGGTCAAATAGCTTATTCAGTCTGGCTGATCAGAAATATCATGCATTAATTTCAAAGTGAAAAATTTTTTTAATTTTTAAAACATTTTTAATTTGTTAATTATTTATTTTCCAAATACACAACACTGTATTTATTTTTTAAGGACACATAAATACACATATTTAAGCAGTAGTTATATGAAAAATAAAATAAAATATTCAGTAAAATTTCAAAAGTATTATATAGAAAATTTCAATTTTTAGTTTCAAGAAAAATAATTCTATGAAAAAGACTGTCATGGGAATAGATATTCTACTGAACTCAATTTATTCTAAAGTAATTAAAAAAAAAAACTCACCCCATGCTAATAACAGATATCTTAATGGAATGTAGTATAGAATTATGATTCCTACACTAAGGGCTATAATAGCTAATGAAGACAACCATGGTACACTCCAGTTGAAAGTACTGAAAGAATAAAATGCAAAATAAAATGTTACAGTAATTCAAATAACTCATCAATTATTTTCTAATGTAGTGTACCTTTCTGATTACATTTTTGTAATTGGTTTAAAAAACTACTCCTTTGTTCTGTCATCTTGAAAGTCCAGGGTTCGAACCCTGCCCACCATGATGTTGTCTAGTGGGAAGTTTGGGCTGTGGTGTAATAATCTTCAAATCTGAAGGATCGTCAGAAAAACATAAAAACAAAACAAAGACTTTTGAACTGTGAGACACAATGGTTTGTTGATGGACTTTTGTCTCTGTTCATGTGCCTTCAAAGATTTCTCTCCATTTTATAGCAACTGCGTTGGAGAGTCAAAAGGTCAAATTAGGCACAATGGTGACATATCAGCTCAATGCTCTATAGAAAATGGCTTAAAACAGGAGTGTTTACCTGTTTCATTACTTTGTTATCTATTTTAAAGTAATACTGAGTCAATATGAGGCATAAATTTGATGTCTAAGTCAAGTTACCCACCAACAGCAAAATATTCAACTTGTATCTATGCCTACTCTCCCATACTAAACTTAAATAGATGATCATTACAGCTTAGAACTTCACAACGTGGATGATTGTAACCTACTTGCTCACAATGAAAAGGAGCTTCATCTACCTGTCTACCAATTTTCTAATGCTGCTGCTTTGTTTGATCTAACCATCTTCCTCAGAAAACAGTAGTCAAAGAAGCTTCTCAATCAAATTTACTGTTAAAGGCCAGCCCTTTAAAAAAATAAATCCCTGTCTATCAAAAGAGCTGGCTATCACAACACTTTTGTATGATTTTAATACCTCAGTGCTAAATAGGATTGAAGCATCTTTTCTTTTTTTCTTATAAATTATAAATACAGAC